AAAGAGAGTGAACAGGCAGTGAGGAAAGAACCCCTTGACCACAACAATGCACAGGGACACATGCCAGCATGCCAGACATCAATTTGTTATTGCCAGGGTAAAGTTGGTCCTTGACCCTTCCCATTCATCCTCCACAGTTGAGCCATCAGTCTACATTTTTCATCCCTTGCAATTGTTTTATTGCTTCTTTCTCTCCTCTTGTTCCTTTCATTTTACCAGACATATTTTTCTGGAATTTGGACTAAGGCTTATTTCTGTGAACAAGTCCTCATGAATCTGGAATATTGGAATATTATGATGCCACACAATGCCTTCTGCTAGCAAGGCAACTCTGCGCATCTGTTGCTTAGATAAGTTCATGTTTGTTAGAAAACAATTGGAACACATAGAAATGTGGTAGTCCACAAGGATGGAGACTTATGAACTGGGAACTATGGAATGGATAACAGTTACAGAAGAATTTTTACATAAAAATTGGGGTTTTGTGTTTTGGAACTCAAACAATATACTCACCAATTCAATCAATTTCCATTGTCCTCTAATGATGCAGACTTTTTATTTTGACTCAAAAAGTATTTTACCACACTATATTTTGTATTCATGACACAATCATTTTATCATTTTACAAAAAATAACTTTTAATGGATTTATTACAAAGGCTGATGTTTAACTGACCTTGTCATGGGTGACAAAGGAGGAAACAGAAGCTAACATTGTAAGCAGGATCACTGCAACATGGGATTCACTTACCTAGTTTTTCTAGTCTAAATACTTACGTTATCTGCAAATAGAAGCATAAGTTTCATTTGAAGTATTAATAACGGCAAAATACCAGGAACTTGTGGAGGATGACCCTGAGGGACAAGTGCTGTTTCTAAAAAGAAGTTACACAATTTATAAAGTTGAATCAATATTGCCCATATTGTTCTACAAAAGTTCAATAAATCGTCTTGTTTTTGAAATCTTGTTCAATAAATGATCTTTGTTTTTGAAAACTATGAGTAGGAGCCAAGTAGACAGTGTATGAGAATTGTCAATAAAGATGGACTATTGAATTGAGTCATAATCTTCTGATTCTGTATGTTGAGAAGACAACTGTATTAGTCTGTTGTATGCACACAAAAGCTAGGGTCTTAGAGCATATCAGAGATATTATAATTTTTACATCAAATTTTGTAGATTCCAATTTACTTTATCAGATACCTACAGGAGCTCTTATGTACTCCCAGTAGTTATTAGGGTGTGAGATAAGTAACAAAAATGTGATAAGGATAATTGTTTTGAAGGTTGAAAATATACATAAAAATATTTAGGATGTTAACACAAATACAAAGGAGTGTCCTTGTCAGACTTTTCCAGCAAAATAAGATTTCTGCATTATTTCTACATGTGAAAGTATATTTAGAGTTTATTTTGGAAGAGAGATTAGGGTTAGGGGGAGAATAATAAAAGATTAGTAAACAAAACGTAAAAATGAACTGATGAAACAATTATTACACTGGATTATTTTAAAATATGCGGTAACAATACCAGTACCGGTATTTATTTATAATATAGCAGAAACTGTTAACTTTGTAATTTAATGAACTATTTGTTCTTACATTTGAATCTTTTTGTCTTTTTTAAAAAAACATTGCAAAATGAACAGCACTATGAATTCTATGGAATTGTGAATAAGAATATTCAGAGTGAATTTAGACCAGTGGATATTCTAAATGAGGGGTAGGCAACATATCCCCACCACCACCGCTTCAATCTGTAAGGCACAAAGTTCAATTGTGGTACAATAATGCTACACAATTATTTTGTTTTTAATCTGTGACATTAGCTGCCTTGGATTTTCAGATGCTAAATTTTCCCAGAAAGATATAAAATTCAATGATTAAAAAATGGTCTATATCCATATCTGGTCTTGCATATATTAACCGCAACTAGAATTGTATTTGCGCAACAATGGAAAAATGATGAGACTCCGTCTGAGGGGAATGTAATTAAGAAAATATTAGAATGCGCAGAAATGGTTAGACTAACGCTTACTATTAAGGGTAAAGAAGAACCTGAATATTTTTTGATATGGGACATATTTTATCAATAGAAACAGAAGTTAGAAAGGAGGAGATATAAAAGGAGGAAATGCCGAAATGGAGAGTTGTTAAAGAAGATGATGTTAAGTATTATTGTTATTATATTATCATATTATTATATTATCAATATTACAGTATTGAATACCACAACAAATGTGTATTATGATTGTTTTAAAATAACTGTACCCAGACCACACAGTTTGATGAAAATTGAACGTTATATAAATAAAACAAATAAAACATTTAAAAAAGGTCTATGTGAATACATAAAATTTGGATTTCATAATTATTTCAGATTTATAATAATTTTAAATTATAATATCCATTTAGAGACGATTTGGAAGACCACAAAGTCCTATAACTTTGCATTATAGCAGTGTTTTTCAATGTTGGCAACTGTAAAATGCGGGGACTTCAACTCCCGGAACTCCCCAGACAGCACGCTGGCTGGAAAATTCTGTGAAGTCCACATTTTAAAGTTGCCAAGATTGAAAAATCACTCTCATTTCCATTCATGCCGTAACTGTTCCAATGGTATTTTAACAAGCTTAGAAAAAAAGTGGCAGATTTCTTAAGCTGTTTAGGAATTTTTATCTGTATTTTTCTGATTTTATTTACAATGTATTTTTCTTTTTTCTCACAACAAAGACATAATACAAATTAATCTTCTCTCATATTAGAGATATTTATCCTGGAATGATGTTGATGAATATTCTGAGTCCTCCAAGTAGACTTTTCTTTTTTGGTTTGAAATGTTTTGCTGCTTATCCTGAACGCAGTCTAAAGAATCTACTTAGATAATTAGCAAAATGTTTCAAACCAAAAAAGAAAACAAGTCCACTTGCCGGGACTCAACTTCCAGACATACAGCCATGATGATTAGTAATGTTTAATAGAAACAGAACTATGAGAAGCTTCAGTTAGCATTTCTGCATCAATTTGCCAGAAGATCTTATGTGCATCTTAAATAAAATAACCCAAAACAAAATAAAACGAATGGTAGGGAACAAGCTTTGATGTTATTAACAGTCAGTTGTCATCCCTTTTTCTTTGGGATCAGCTGAGAGAAAGAGAAGACCTCCTAAAAACTTTGCGACAAATGTCTGTTATGTTCTGTATTTTCAGCTCTAACACAGTGATTACCAACATCACACGCTGCTAAGTTTACGTGGATAAACAGGATATATTTGAAGGCAATACATTTCTTTTGTCAAACGTCTCTTATTCTCTAAGCTTGTTAAAGAATGGAAATGCGAAGCAAAAGCTTTCAATTAACTTTGTCCTTTGGTGATACTGCGAAACTATGATTACTGAATATTTAAAATTAGAGTGAATTAATTGCTAATTAATATTTCCCCCTTCTCCATGTGATATAAGAAAGCTATATTTTCATTGTGGGCCATGGGAATGGAAGTCATCCCGAAGGCGAATTCCTTGTACGACTATTTAAATACCCTAATGATTGTCAGTAAAAAATAAAGATATATATTTTTAAAAGCCTCAATTGAAACAAACGAATTATTTTGAGGATTATGAAAGCAATCAATTAAGTATAAAATTAATCTGAATGTTAAGATGCAAAACAAAAAAAGTTTGGGGCTAAATGCAAACATGCAAGAACTATACAGCAGTGTTGGTTAACCTTTTTGGTACTGAGTGCCCAAAATGTGCGCACGCGCAAATGCACATGTGCAAGCCTGAACCCCCCAAATGCAATGCGAGTGCCACCCCATGCTTGCGTCCCACCCCCACGCATGCATGTGCATCCCCATGCCTGCACTCCGCCCCCTTGCCCCATTTTGGCTTCCAGGTTGGTGCAGGAAGCTTTCTAGCCCCAAACGGGGCATGCGGGCCTCACGCATCCCCCTCGCACCGTTTTGGCTTCCATGTTTTGGGCAGGTGGCTTTCCAGGTCCAAAACAGGGAGTGGAGTGGAACCCCCAAAATGCAATGCAAACACCCCCTTCATATGCGCCCCACCCCCGTGCATGTGTCCCACCCCCTGCACATGCACACATGCGTTCCCTGCATGTGTCCCGCTCCAGCGCATGCACAGCAGAGATCCAAAGACCAGCTTGCTGGTGGGAAGCACACACATATACACGGTGGAGCTGGACTGGGGTGACAGCTGGCATACCCGCAGAGGAGTCCGTGTGGCACCTGTGGCACGCGTGCCATAGGTTTGCCATTACGGCTATAGAAGATACTAAATGATATACTACAGAGTTGAAGAGAAGAAATACTTTCTATGAAGTAGCTAATTTTTTATTTCAAGCCTCAACTCAGTTGATGGTTTATGTACTGTAGTTTGAATTGTATCTTTTCCTATGTTGTGGAGTCACTCCGAAGATTAGTTTTTGGATTGTTCAAAAGGACTATTTTAAGTTTAAAGTTAAAATAATTGTATTTCACTTCATAATACCTGTTTGCAGTTTCACTTATAAATGCTTACCTGAATCAAGGATACTGAGTTACTGGAGTTAAATCAGAAGGAATTGTGCATACCAATGAGCCAAAAAGTACAAAATATCCAGCTGTTTGTGGAAATTATTCAAATTTCAATAGGCTTGAGTTTTATTCTTTTTTCACTTCTGCTTTCAAAGCTTTATTCTTTTAAAAATATTAAACCATAAAATATATTTAACGTACCTCAAATGCAAATAAAAACATTAGTAAACAGCTTTTTGAGATGGTTACATTTTTTTGTTAAAAGAACGAAGATACTTTAATCTGTCTGCAGCAAACTTTACACAAATAGCAAGGTACCTCCTATTAATAATCAGATAAAAATACATGAATATTTGCTTGAGAATAACTCCCATCAAATCCAACAGAAATTCTGAATGCATAAATATGCATAATGTCAGTCTGGGATTTATCTAAGAAGTATGATTCAACAGTCTAGATTTCATAGGAATGTTTTAAAAATGTAACTTTTTATTTACTATCAAAAACACAAAATTGTAACATACAAATTACTGATGTAGGCCACTTTTACTAAATATTTAACAGATCTATGCATTAAAAATATAAATATCTCTACTTAAAGCATATATACCAATAATTGGGTATATGTTCAGAATTACAAATTTTTATAATAAAAAGAAATGTTTTCAAATGTAAAAGAGTTTAACTAATCAGATCCTGGCAGTGGGTATCTTATCTATATGTTGCCTATAACCAAGGCTCCAAATGTATTTTGAACAAATAATACATCAAAAGTCAACCCCTTTATCTTTAATGTAAGATTTAAAATCTCCCTCTCCCTCATCCTTCAATCATTAAGATATTTCAGAATGCTCAACTCTGAGTTATTATATATTAAAACCCACAAACAAAAAAGGTAACAATTTCAGTATTCCTAAACAAAAATATAAATAATAGGTTACCATTAAAAAACAAACTTTTTCTCTGAGCAGTAAGCACATTTTTTCCTGCTCCTAATATTTTTTTGCTAGCTGTTCATCATCATTTATAGTTTTGCCATCACTGGCACGGATGTAATATTTTCGCATGTGAATCTTAGGTCCGCAAATATAATGTCATGACAGGGCAAACTTTGTGAATTGCCATTTGATGTATGTAATTAGAATGTTCTAATCTAGAACCTCTGTTCTAGAAAAAATGCAATATATATATATATAATAATTTAAAATGGAAATATGGCTGATTTGCTGTACACGAGAAATATCTCACTCATGTAATTTACAAACTACCAGAACACAGAAAATGGTCATCATTTACAGTATATATTAAATTGCATACTGTTTTCTTGCTTATATTGTATTCTTACATTTCCAAAGTTGCAATACCGCTACAGTAAATGGAACAGTATACAGCTGCATATTGAAAACTTCAAAGATTTGTTGGGATGTTAACTTTTTTAAAAAATCAAATTTTTGATATACAATCCAATATTAATATTGTTTTTCATCACAGAAAAAAGGTTTTTATTAAAACATTTGCAGGCCAAAATCCAAAATTAGGCCTTTCTTAATTCTGTTTATTCCACAATGGGAGAGATACTCTAATATCACTTTAATGCGATGTAAAAGTGCTAAATTTAGCTTGGTAATTCGCCAAATGTAACTAGCACAACTTTTCCTAATTTGACACTTTCAACTCCAATATTTTCAAGTCACCATATCTCACAAATCTAAGCACCAGTTTCAGGCAAACCCTATTCAGTACTTTATTGTAGAGAAACCAATACAAGGAAAAGACCTTGACCTGGTGTCTTGCCAGCCAGCTATTTTAAAAGTATATCTGGAAAAGAAGGAGACTTAAAGAGAAATCAGGGCTTTGCAATATATAATTTGTTACTTCTATATACTGTATAAAGCATCTTCTATGTATACCTGAAAGAGATACCCAATTTGGAGATATCTTTTCTAGAGCTATGAATATAATACAAAACAGGTAGCCTAAAAAGATATTATTTGCTTTTGGGAAAATTCTGATATGACAGAGAATTTTTTTTGCCTTTAGACATTTTTTAAGACATAAGAGATCTAAAGTTGAACGAAAGATTAAGCTGAGCACAGGACACATGTTTTCTTCATATGAGTGTGTTTTTTTCTTATTATCTTCTTTAGTTTTTTCTTCACACTTCCATTGCAGTCACATTTAGGTAGCTTAAAATCAACCAAACAGAAATTTGATGGAATGTAACCTCCCATCCCATCCTATATCTAAAATTACACGAACATGCAAGAATGATACAATCCTTATTTTTTCTGCAGCCTTTGTACCTAATAAAAATCAATAAAAAATTTATAACTTCTACAATTATAAAATTAGGATTATCTATATTAAAGAATACTAGTCAGTTTTCATCTCAAATTATGCATTTGTCCAGTAGTGAGTCTTATAAAGTGCTTGTCTTGTAATAATGTGGGATGGACATACGTACAGAAGTGCCATGCTGTGTACTGCTCTCGGACAAGGCTATTACCACAAGATGCATATTATTATTATAGTACATGAGTTTTCTTTTCATTAAGGTAAGTAGGGCAGGATCAGCTGCAGCCAAGAGGTTAAGAGAACTGATGCTGGCCAATGCTGAAGTAATCCAGAACAGTTATCCTCAAAAGAAAGGTGAAACAATGAGTTTGGTCCTTTCATTTCAGCTTATGTGGACAATTCTAGAAGTTCTGAAATAACAAGGTGCTGCTGCTTTTTTTTAAGTGTAGTACATATTCAGTTACTTTTTGGGTTTCTCCAGGATGTTCAGGAATTTCCCTCTAGTCATTTCTCTGGCTGAAATCACAAAGAAAGAAAGACAAAACAGTTTAACGTATAGCATCAGAACTGGATAATTTCCACTTGTAAAATTAATTTAAATGATTAAAAACAGGATAAAAATAATTTCACATAAAAGAAAACAAATATCACACTTTAGCTCTTCCAAAGTCTAGAAATATCAGCCAAGCATTGAAAATATTAAAACTCAGCTGTAATGTCCATAAACTGTCTCATTTTATCTGATAACCACTCACTTTATTTTCATAATAGTTATTCTCAAGAGCTCCCTTTCAATTTTTCTACTATATTTATCTACAGACAGTATAATCTAGAATGCCATTTGCTCCTTCTTAGGGCATCTCTTTCTGCAAGCATAACCTCACAACCCCCCTCCGTCTCCCTCTATTTCAAGATTACTTATGACCTTAAACATAAATGAGACAGCATTTCTATTCCCCCATAGTAGTGATAGTCCCTAAATATTATATATAATGGAGTTTCAAATTCTCTCAAAGTAGTACATCTATGTATGGTGTATTAAAGTAGAGTTTATAGCTTTGCTCTACTTTAGTCTCACATTGTACTGTCATTCCCAGCAAGGCAAAGTATATATGCTTGTCCGTATCATCAATCTCCATTAAAAGCATTACAGAATTTTACCCAGCTACAGTACTTGCCTGTAGGAAAAAAAAATCTGATTTGTGAATTCCAAGATTTTATTGCTGGCCTATTTAAAAAATACTTATTTGATTTGAGAGAAAACACTTCAGCTCTTTTTCTTCCATACCGTCTCCACATTCAGAATAGTGATTGGATATATTTTATTTTAGGATTACTACTATACCAAAAGTCTGGGGAATTCAATTTATGGAGGGTCTGACTAGCCATTGTTAAGGGTGATGGTTAGCTTTTATGGCTACTTACATGAGTTCCCAGATAAAAAATATGAAATAGTTGTTTTAGTTATTTAATTTGGATAGTTAAGTACACGATGATGGAATTCATCTTTTGCTTGTGGACTTTTCATGAGTAGCTCATTATTATTTGGGGAACATGATCTTAAACAATGGTCTTACTGTAGCTATATATATCTTTCATGTTATCTTCAATGACATCAAAGCTTCTTTTTTAAAGTGATTTCAAGAACCTTATTAATTGGCAAATAAAAACATCTAGGACTGGTTTTATATCTAACTTCTAGTTGGTAGAACACAAGCAACAATATGTTGGCTTGCAAGGTAGTTTCTAGATTGGAGATTTTATTTTGCATGTGGCTTGTGAAGCTGTCCTTTATCCTACTTGGAGGCTCTCTTCCAAGGCATCTACTACCGTACCATAGATAGTTATAGCAATCAGGTTGAAGGTCTATAAAAGTTTGTCCATAAGAATGGAATGGTAGCATTCATTTATTATGATTCAAATTACATGATTTACAATGGAAACAATTCGATTTGTCATACAGGACATATGCATTCTGCAGCAAATTAAATCATCACAGAAGTGGATGGCACTTTCTCTCCCCTCCTTTATTCTTGCTCATTTCTGATTCTTTTGGAAACTAATTCAGGAAGCTGCTTCCAGGTTCCAGGTTCCTTAAATTTTCAATGACATTTCTTTCAGTATTCTTTCTTCTTGGTCCCCTCCCTGGTGAACTGCTTTCTTTCACATCTCCCAGCTTTTCCTCCCTTCTGCATGAAGACCAAGGCTTTTTAAATAAGAGGAGAGGGGCTGGATAATATCTTCCTGGTTTTTCTTGGGCAAAACTCCCTCCTTTCCAAAGGAGGGATTCTAATATTCTAAAAACACTTAACTTTTTTCTCTCTCTGTGAGCAAAAGAAAGATCTGTGGGTCAGCACTAGTGTATGTATGTGCTTGCATTTTAAGCCACTATGGATTCTCCTGCCTGCATGCTCAGGTCCTTGAGATATAAGTATTGGCAATCTAACTGAATGTGGGAAGAGAAAGATGTGCCACACCTTGCTTAAATGAATGGGAATTTACCTATTCTTTGCAAACCAAATGTCAAGATATGGTTTATTGCAAGGGTAGGGAACATAAACCCATGATATCAATGTTCTTGTGAATTTCTCCCTTGCTCCCTGTCCCTACTCCCTTCAACATATATAAATTAATATGAAGCTGACATGCTGCAAGTGTTAACATATCTTTATTTTCAAAAATGGCTTTGGGCTCTACACAGGCCCCAACGGCATTTTCGGAAAATGAAAGAATTTCATTTAAAGAGAGGTTTAGAGAGCTGATGAGTACAAGGATCATGCATGTAATCCTAGATCACAGCTGCATTATGTCCAATCCAAGTCTGTGTTATATCATCTTGAGTATGCATTCTTGTTAAAATATAAAGAACATAAATATCTTGGAGAATCAGATTGATGGCCAAAGACAACAGTATTATTAAATGTGTCTGGTTTACTATAAATGCGTCTTGATAGGCAAACATTTTGGCTAGTGAAAAAATTTGGAACTTAAAAAGCAAATTCAGTTAGTAAAAAATACTCTTTGAGACAGGAATTTAGTATGTTCATACATAAATTTAAGCATCACTATATTTCTCTTCTTTCTCGTACACATATGGATAGGAATCTAAAAAAAATGGCTTTGATCCAGTTTCAAAATTCAAATCCAGATGAGCTAGGAGAATTTTGCTTAGAGGATTAAGAATTAGGCTCTGTCTTCTAGATATCTGTGACATATATGATTTTGATTATTTTTGTAGAATTATAAAAGAATCCATATTTAAGTCTATTTAAAGTTTAAGAGATTCATATTCATTTTGTGGGAACCAACTATCAGAAAATGTTCAGAATTACCAGCAGTAGATTCTGATTGTATCATTCAGTCGTATCACAGAAAACATAAAGTTGAGATAACAATGAAAATCTGGTGCCTCTGAATTCCATGCAGATGAGTACTGTACAGTTTTATTTATCATATGATTATAGATAATCTATAGGAATACAATATCTAACTATTGATTTAATAAAATATTACAGTTATAAGTCTCAAAATTAGAAGGTCTATGATTAACCTCTATCCAAACAAATAGTTAAAACTTATTTCTTTAAACAACTTACAAGAGGCCACAAAAAAGTAACTTTTTTAGTATTTTTAAAAAATAAGTCATCTCATTCTAAATGTACATAATGTTGGTGGGAGTCCATTCCAAAGAATTGAAATCAGATGAAGAAAAGCTCATAATCATGACATGATTATTTTCATATAGAACCAAATATTTATAAGCAGTAGAACCTTATTTGATAATTGGTCAAGCATGCTGGTGTGATTCCAAGTCTTATAAATATTTAGGACATTATTTCTCAACATTATAAATTTATACTGATATCTTTCTCACATACCCAACTATCTGGCATTAGAATAACTCTTCAAAACATGAACAGAATGTGACTAAATTTGCTAAACTGGCAATTGAAACAATTAGTTTAAAACTGGGCCAGATCTGCTGAGGGTTGCAGAGAAAAACATTCCAGAAAAATTCTCACAACGTATCCCTTTGGGACAGGCAGCAGCTCAGAATATTACTGATTACTCCATTCTAAATTGCCTTCCCTCCTTGTCACATAATCCAGAAAAAAGCTTATCCAATGTGCTCTATGCATTATGGTACACATATGCTCACAAATGCACAGAGTCACACAAACCTAACACAAGAGGAAAACAGAAATACAGAGACATAATACACTACTTTATCACACAAATAAAAAGACAGACATGTCCCTTGACTATTGCCTAGTAAAGGGATTGAAAAGAATTTAGCCACCCTCTATGTGCTTTTCCTGTTGTTATTTCCCAGTAGGGTTTATGAGGATTTCTTAAGAAATAAAGATATTGCCAACGCTTCCTTTCTTCCCGAACCACTATCATACCTCACTTTTTAAAATTTTTACTTATAAGGATTGATTCCATCCCAAATTCTGTGGTGACATATTTTTTCCTTCTTAGAAGTGTAAGCCTAGGACCAGGGGTGGCATTTAGTTTGTCAGTTTTGGAAGATAATTCAAAAATGTGACGTGATGATATCCGGACGAGTGGGCAGAGCCTTCCCGCTGCCACTGCTACCTGTTCCCCTGAACCAGATAGAACGGGCTGAATACCACCACTGCCTAGGACCTGACAGATCTAGAACCATAACTCAAGTTCAATTGACAGGACTATTGTTGAAATGAGATGAATTAGCTCAAATTTGTCCATATTTTTTTCATACTCTGATTCCAAGCTGCTAAAGCTTTAGACTGCTTTATTAAAACTCAAGACCAAAATGGACAGGGGAAGAAAGAAAAGATGGGATGTGGGCACACAATCACTTTGTGCCCAGAATCAGGAAACTTCAAACCATGTTTAATATAAATTTCACTACATGAAATTGGTTATATAAACTGGCTTTGGGATCACTGAGTTGCCATTCATTTCAAAATATTCTTGTTTACGTGGTGTTCTTGACTCAAGTATTTAAAATGTAGAAGATGCTCATGTTTTATAATCATTTTTTTCTTTCTTTAAACAAGCTAAGAAGAACAAGCTAAGTTTAAACACAGTCTCAGGAAATCTGGGGGGAAAAATCAGTTTGAATTAAAACCCTGCCTTGCTCAAGTAATGTCAACCTGAAGCATTATCTGCTGATGGAATGGAAGTTTTTCAGAGCACCAGTCCCATATAGGAGATATACGAATGTGTGACAACTATGCGCCCCTGAAGAGGGCTGCACCTTATAAATCAAGCTGCAAGCATTGACTAGCACTGCATCCAACTAAAATTACTGTGAGTTGGGGGCTGCTCCAGAACACGTGCCCTCCTGTTCGCTTGTCATCGGAGATGTTAACATTTCTGATTAATTCACAGACCTCTCATTTTATTCTTCATTCCTTTATCCTTGCTATCCTGCTCTGCTGCAGCTTAAAGATTCTTACCCGACCTGCTACAATAATCACCACTCGCTCGTCCTCCCCCCCACCTGGTGAAATTGTTTAGTGATGCCA